CTCCCTCCCTCCCTCCTCCCCCCCCTCCCCTCCCTCCCTCCCCTCCTCCATCCCTCCCTCCACTCCCTCCCTCCCTCCTCCCTGTGCCTCCTCCTCATTCTCCTCCTCCTCCTCCTCCTCGTCCCCATTCTCCCTTCCTCTTCTCCTGTTCCTCCTCCTCCCTCCTCCTTATCTGGATGATAATCGCAGGAGATGGGAGCGACTATCTGCACACCCAAGTCTCCCTCCTGCTCCTCCTGTCCCCTCCGAACTCTTTGTAGAGCCTACGCAACCCAACAACAAGACCCTTCCCTCCCTGTCACTAGGTCCTCCTGCTCTTCCTGCTCCTGCTCTTCCCGCTCCTCCCGCTTCTCCCGCTCCTCCTGCTCCCGCTCCCGCTCCTCTGCAGCCCCTCAACATTTTCACCATCACCATCATCATCGCTTTCTCTCCCTCGCCTCGTCGTCTCCTCTCAATCTCTTTCCTCAGGTTTCCCGCGCAGTCCAAGAAGGCGAAGCCGAGGGAGGAGACGGTGGTCGTCTGCCTGGTGGTCGAGGAGGACAAGGAGCACAAGGCCATCCTTGGCAAGGAGACGAAGAGAAAGAAGGCAAAGAAGGGAGATGCGAAGGAAGAGCAGGAGGAGGAGGAAGGGGAAGGAGAGGAGGATGGAACTAGCAGCAGGCGTTTCCTGCTGATTCAACGGCCCAAGTCAGGCCTCCTCGCCTCCCTCTGGGAGTTTCCGACTGTTCCGGTTCAGCAAGAGTGCGAGCGGGAGAAGTGCAAGGAGGAGATGGCGACTTATCTGAAGGAGGCAGCGAGTCTGCAGGAGGGCAGGAGGGAGGAGAAGAGGAGGAAGCAGGTGAAGCAAGAGGGAGGAGGCGGAGCGGGAGGAGGAGGCAAGGGGGAGCTGGGACCGGAGGCTCTTGTGGGGAGGATGGAGCATGTGGGGGAGACGGAGTTTCTTTTCTCGCACATCCGGCAGAGGATGGTGGTCCTGTCGCTGACGATCTCGTCGAGGAGGAGCGTCGGGATCGACGACACGCAGGTGGTCAGACATGCTCGCGTGCTCGCCTAACTCTGAGCTGCAGCATGGGGAGCAGGAGGAGGGGGAGGATGTTGTGGTGGTGGAGGATGAAGGGGCGAAATTATCGCAGAGCAAGGGAGGTAGGAAACGGCAGAAGGTCGTCAAGGGAGGGAAGGAAGGGAAGAAGAACGTCAGAGACAAGGTGGAGGAGGAGGAGGAGGAGGATGAGGAGGAGGAGGAGGAGAAGCGACAGGAAGCGTCTGCTTCTGCTTCAAGGCTGGTTCGGTCGCCTCCAACGAACGTGAGGTGGGTAGAGGAGGAGGAGCTTGAATCTGCTGCCCTGCCCTCCGTCATGCGGAAAGTCCTTCAAGTCTTCCTCGATCCTAGCAAGGAGAGAAGGAGGAAGGGGAAGGATGAGGGAGGAGAGAAGAAGAGGAAGGGGAAGGAGGCGAAAGACGATGGAAAGCAGAGAAGCATCGCACAGTTCTTCTCAAAGAAAGAGAAAAGCGAGAAAGCGCAGTAAGGGGGAGGAGACGCGATTGGGGAGGGGAGTAGAGGAGAAGACAGGGGGAAAGCAGACGGAAGACACAGGAGGAGGAGGAGGACGAGTGAAGGAGAAGACAGCAGGAGGGGAGGCAAGCAACGAAGACTTTGTGTTTAGGGATATAAAAGAAACAATGAGAAACAATCGTCTATGACATCTCAGTACTGTCTTGTCTGCCCTCGTCAAAGTCCGCCATTCTCCGCCTGTGCGATCTTCTTGTTCGGCCGTCGACCGTTGCTGCCTCTTCCCTCCGATTTCGCTACAGGTCGCTGAAAGGAGGTCAGGAAGGAGAGGAGACGAGAGGACGATGGCGGTGCTGAAGGAGGGAGCACGGAAGGTGGGAGGGAGGAAACTAGGGGGTGAGGAAAGGGAGAGAGCAGAAGGGGAAAAGCTGAGGAACGTAGAGTAGCAGGAGGAGGAAGAAGACAGCAGAGGAGAGAGACAGCAGAGGAAGAGGAAGAGAGAGGAAGGGAAAGGAAGAGGGAGAGGAAGAGGGAGAGGGACTTACTTTGTTTCCTGACTTTCTGCTGCTCCCAGCCTCTCCAGCCTCCTCGTGCTCTTGAGAGTTCGAGGCTGAAAGGTTTTGATCACTCAGAGAGAAGGGAGAGGGAAGGAGGGAAGACACATAGCGAGAAAAGAGGAGGAGGAGGAGGAGGAGGAGGAGGAGGAGGAGGAGGTAGGGTAGGGTAGGGTAGGGTAGGGTGGACGAGGAGGAAGGGGGAGGGGAAGGACGAGGAAGAGAAGGA